CTACAATCAAGAGAAGACTTCACGAGTGCAAATACAGAGGGTTCACCACAAGGTGCAAACCATTCATAAAACCTGGAGAATAAAAAAGCCAGGTTAGACTTTGCCAAAAAACATCTAAAAAAGTCATACCAGTTCTGGAAAAGCATTCTTTAGATGGATGAAACTAAGATTAATCTGTAACAGAATGACGGGAAGAAAAAAGCGTGGAGAAGGCTTGGAACAGGCCATGATCCTACCATCTTTACCACTTTACTACCATCGAGGAAGTCTCCAAGACCCTCTCTGATGCCCGCCTCACCACCTGCCCCCTCGACCCTATCCCCTCACAACTTCTACGACCTTCCTCCTCCTCCATCCTACGCTCCCTCACCCACATCTTCAATCTCTCCCTCTCCTCAGGCACTTTCCCCTCCCCTCTGAAACATGCACACATCACCCCCATACTTAAAAAGTGGACCCCAATGACCCGAACAACCTCAGACCCATCTCCCTGCTCCCATTTACATCTAAACTCCTCGAGCGCCTAGTCTACACCCGCCTATGCTCTCACCTCAACGACAACAACCTCCTCGATCCCCTACAGTCCGGCTTCCGTCCCCTACACTCCACCGAAACTGCCTTACTCAAACTCTCCAACGACCTGCTAACCGCCAAAGCTAATGGACACTATTCAGTGCTCCTACTCCTTGACCTCTCTGCGGCCTTCGACACAGTCGACCACCCCCTCCTCCTCAAAAAACTACACTTCCCTCGGCCTCAGAGATTCTGCTCTCTCCTGGATCTCATCCTACCTGTCACAACGCTCTTTCAGCGTTACCTATAATGCTACCACACCTCCCCCTCACTCCCCCTCTCTGTTGGGGTCCCTCAAGGCTCTGTCCTCGGGCCCCTTCTCTTCTCCATCTATATACCTCCTCCCTTGGCCAACTCATACACTCTCACGGCTTCAACTACCACCTCTATGCCGACGACACACAAATCTATCTCTCAACCCCCCCACCTCACCCCCTTGGTCTCAGCCCGAATCACACACCTACTGAGCAACATATCAGACTGGATGTCGCTCCACTTCCTTAAATTGAACCTCTCCAAAACCGAGTTTCTTGTCTTCCCCCCAGCCCGGACACCACCCCCCATTGATTTCTCCGTCACATCCAACAACGCTACCATCAAACCCGCCCTGCAGGCCAGAGTACTGGGTGTCATTCTGGACTCCAACCTATCCTTCCAGCCCCAAGTCCAATCTTTAACAAACTCGTGCAGACTCCACCTCCGCAACATCGCCAAAATCCGCACGTTCCTAACCCCAGAAACCACTAAACAGCTCATCCACTCCCTCATCATATCACGACTCGACTACTGCAACTCCCTCCTCACTGGCCTGCCTCGCCGCTGGCTATCCCCTCTTCAGTCCATCCTGAACACGGCTGCCAGACTCATTCACCTTTCCAAACCGCTCTGTCTCCGCCACCCCCCTCTGCCAATCCCTCCACTGGCTTCCGATTGCGCAACGGATCAAATTCAAAATCCTAACGCTGACGTACAAAGCTGTCCACCATACTGCCCCGAACTACATCACTGACCTAATATCCAAGTACCGCCCAGCACGCACACTCCGCTCCTCACAAGACCTCCTTCTCTCTAGTTCCCTGGTCTCCTCCTCCCATGCCCGCCTCCAGGACTTCTCCAGGGTGTCACCCATCCTCTGGAACTCCCTGCCCCAACCCATCAGATTATCACCTACTCTCCTCTCCTTTAGGCGCACCCTGAAAACCCATCTCTTCAGGGAAGCCTACCCCACCCCCTGCTAACTTGCCTCCCTCCTCCACTCTTCCTACCACTCCATCCCCCACAGCTATCTCCTCCTGTGCCACCACCCCCTCCCTCCTAGATTGTAAGCTCGAAAGAGCAGGGCCCTTGATCCCCTCATGTTTTGCATTGTATTGGTATTGTTCTGTCACATGAGCGCTGAGCGAACTATTGGCGCTTTATAAATACTGTATAATAATAATAATAATAATAATGATCCAAAGCACACAACATCATCTGTAAAACATGGTGGAGGCAGTGTGATGGCATGGGCATGCATGACTTCCAGTGGCACTGGGTCATTGGTGTTTATTGATGATGTGACAGAAGACAGAGGCAGCCGGATGAATTCTGCAGTGTTTAGAGATATACTGTCAGCCCGGATTCAGCCAAATGCAGCAAAGTTGATTAGACGGCGCTTCACAGTACAGATGGACAATGATCCAAACCACACTGCAAAAGCAACCCAGGAGCTTTTGAAGGAAAAGAAGTGGAATATTCTGCAATGGCCGAGTCAATCACTTGATCTCAACCCAACTGAGCATGCATTTTACTTGCGGAAGGCAAAACTAAAGTCAGAAAGACCTGACAAACAAAGAACAACTGAAGACAGCTGCAGTTACATATGTACATTGGTCCAAGCTGGAGCAATGAAACTATGCACATTGCCATACCTAAACTTCAACTTTTATTGACACAAGAAAACCCTTATTGTTTCAAAGCCCAACTTTAGCCTAATTTCTTTTTAAAGTTTGGATAGAGTGAGAAAGGGTTAGAATGTTAGCTTTTATTGCTGCTCGTCATTTTACTGGAAAGCTCTTTCCTCAATTTGAGCTCCAGTGACAACCAGAAATAAGAACCTAAGAGACACCAGATTTCATGGGACACTGCACTCAGGTGTGAATGAGAACCATTCACTATAATGGAAATCCTAGAGTTGAGTGTTGAAACACTTCTGGAGAAGTATCAAACCTCAGTTCAATTTGCTCAGGTGTGAACAGGGACTTACAGAGTTTTACATTTCCCAATGTGTTTTGATGCTCTCTCCCCCCACTTGAAAGATTTCCCATTGTCTATCTTCACTTACCATCCTCTTGGTGCTATCCAATACAAACAAAATATCTGAGTGAAACTTTATAAAATGTCTAGGAATGACCAGAGAGGGAAGAAACCTCAAGTCCTGTGTAAAGAGATGGAAGAAAACACAGAGGATACTGCAAGGATCAAGGTTAAAAAAAAACCCAAGATGTGAATTTAGAGGAAGAATAAAGCAGATATTCAGTTAGAAGAGCGAGAGAAAGAAAGGTAGAGAGAAAGAGAGAGAGAGAGAACGAGTGAGAGAGAATGAGATAATGAGAGAGAGAGAGAGAGAGAGAGAGAGGGGGGGAGATAACGAGAGAGAGAGAGAGAGAGAGAGAGAGAGAGAGAGAGAGAGAGAGAGAGAGAGAGAGAGAGAGAGAGAGAGAGAGAGAGAAAGAGAGAAAGAGAGAAAGAAGAAAGAAAGAAAGAAAGAAAGAAAGAAAGAAAAAGAAAGAAAGAAAGAAAGAAAAAAGAGAAAGAAAGAGAAGAAAAAGAGAGCAAGAAGAAAGAAGAAAGAAAGAAAGAAGCAAGAAAGAAAGAAAGAAAGAAAGAAAGAAAGAAAGAAAGAAAGAAAAATTAAAAGAAAGTGAGCCAGTAAAACAGAGCCAGAAATTAGTTGGAAAGTGAAAGAGAACCAAAGAGGGAGAGAGAGAGAGAGAGAGAGAGAGAGAGAGAGAGAGAGAGAGAGAGAGAGAGAACGAGAATGCTATTCTGGGTGGGACCGTTCCCTTTTCACATGAACTCTGGCTGGCAGTATACAGCTTCATATTTCCACTCCTACAGTATAAATATAGATATTTAAAGAACAGGTTATATTTTTTCAGTAGCATTAATAAATATGTTTAAGGATAATTAATTTTTAGTAAATAATGATGTACTTAAAATTTACTCTAGATAATATAGGGTGGGATACTTTTTTAAAAATTGTATAGCTCTTTCTCTGTAGAAGCTGGTTTGGCATTGGCCGGTCTAAACAGCATGTAAAGTTCTTCATCTTCTTACGTATATATACAAATTTACACCGCGCTAAAGATTAAACTACTGCTGATGTGTACGAGGCTGCTGTACATGGCACTGTGCAATATTTAATATCGCCTTATGTACACCTGTGAAACGTTTCAGGCACAATACATGGAAGCAGGGTCTAGGACTGGCTGTCTTGCACTGAATGATATCCCTGCCTGCTCTTCTATGTATCCCATTGGAGAGATTTGCCCTTTTTTTCAATCCCTAAAACACAAGGGGAACTGGGAGGAAATCTATCCAAAAGGATAGGAAATTCTCTCATAAGACAGTTTCTATCCCATTGAGAAAGGTGACAAAGAAATACAGAGTGAATCCTCAAAATGGATACACAAACCACAATAAAAGAGGATCTAACTCTTCCCCAATAAGTCCTAAACTGAAGAACATCTTTTGTCTATAGATATACTTAAATGGACAAAGCAGCTTATGTTTTTTTTTCTTCTAAGCTCTAATTTTGCCCTTCCCTTATAAAAGCACAACTTCAAAGTGTCCTTACATGCTAAACTCAAATTATAACAATTTCACGTGAACACTGAGTCATCCAGAGATTAAAAAAAAAAGACGCTCATTAGAAAGGCTTTTACCTAGCGCATTGAACATACACAGGTATGGGATCTATCATCTGAATTGCTTCTGGCCTGGAGTTCTATAGATATATGTTTTTTTCTGTAATGTAGAGAACTAGGTCTAAATATAATTATTACACAGAAAATGTACAAGTGCTTACTCCAACATCTCCTTCCAGAAGGGATTTTTCTAGTATTAGTCCCAAACTGTCAAAACAAGAGACAGTTATGCTCCTTCTTGTACATCACAATTTATTTCTTATAAATAAAACCACCAGTTATTTTGCTGTTCTGTATTTCCTATTTTTTGGACAATGGTTGTAAAATAACATATCCAAGCTAAAATGTAAGGCACGCCTATTAAGTGGGTTTCCCTCTGTGTTTTAGAAAAGTAGCATAAAAAAAACAACCCGGCAACCCTTCTTTTGGTGACATTTGGGGTATTTAGAGTACTCCAGATCTTGTTTTTGACCTAAAGGGACACTTTTTGGACGCCATGGACATTTCTCAGTTTCCAGGCAGAAAGAACAGTAAAAATGCAGGCAGGGCACAGGACAGAGCACTAGGGACAAAATGTATGTGAAATGCTTTGAAACAGTAATGTTTTACTATGTGATATTCGTTTAATAGAAAATGTCAGTTTTTAAAATTTTCAAATTTGCAGCTGGTTCCGGCCCCCCTACGTTCCAACGCTCGCAGGGACCGGAACACGGAAGCTGGATGCCGGCATCAGCCGGAGGAGATGGCCGGGGATGCTGCAGGGGACACATCGCGGGAGCGAAGGACAAGGTAAGTGCTGCAGGGAATCCCTGAGCAACGCTGCAGGGTATTCCCGAGTGTAGCTCGGGGTTACCGCTTCTGGTACTGAAACTTTACCCCGAGTTACACTCGGGAATACCTCCAGGGGGGTTAAGTGAATTGCTGTGTTCCAATATAAGGAGTTACACCATTTAAAAGCAGACATGGTCCGCTTTAAAGGTTTTTTTTTTTCTTATTGTAAAAAGTGGGCTGTTTCCATGTCAACTATCTATCTGGTGCTCATCTGTGAAGAAATGTTTCCCTTGGCTGCCCAGGCAAGAATAAGGCTTCGTTCATACTTGTGTGACTTTAAAGTCGCATGATTTCCAGTGCAACTTTGCAATGCGACTTTTAGCCTGGGTTTACACTGATGTGGTGCGCCACATCATAATCGCACCTCGTTGATGCGAACAGCTGCGGGTGTGTGTATGTTAAGTTAACAACAACTCAAAATCGCTTTGCAAAACCCAGTACACTGTGCAGAATCAGATAGCATGAGTGTGAATACCAAGGTGATCCGATTCTAGTGCAGACAAAAAAAAAATGGGTCCTGTACCTTTTTGGTGTGGCTGCAGTGCAATTTGAGCCATATAAAATGTATGAATCAAAATGTGCATGTAATTTGCACAGGGATGGCAGTGCAGCACCTCAGAAGTGTGAACCAATGCAACTTTGGTGACTTTACAGTCTGGCACTCAAATTGCCTCAAAGTAGTGCAGGAACTTTTTCAAAGCCACTGAAACTTTAGGGAGTATGGATCCAAATGCCTACCATTGGCATGCGACTTTATGTGTCAGAGTCTAAAACAGAGGTTCTAATCTCCTTCCCAACTCCAAAAATTTTATATATATATATATATATATATATATATATATACATAGATACATACACCTTAAATTGTACGCCCCTTGAGGGTTAGGGACTGATGTGAATGTATAATATATATTTAAAGCGCTGTGTAAATTGATGGCGCTATATATGCACCTGGAATAAATATATGTGTGTATAGCAATGGTATAGGTGAAGTGCACAATGATGATCAATCACAGTGCATAGCAATCAGGCCTTCCCAAAGGCCATACATAGAAAAAAGAAAAATGGACTGCTTAATATATCTCTATTTAAGATACTGAAGCCAGCCTGCCCAGTAAATGGCCATACCCAGCTGTACTCTTGTAAACGCTGATGCCCCTACTATAGTTATCTCAATTTGTTATCTCCAATGGCAGTTTCCTGCAGCATAGTGAACACAGGACATCTTCTGCTCTGCACAGGCACCATTGAAGGAACACTTTGCATTTTCTCAATGAGAGTAATGTGTTCCCTGATTGGACTAAGGGGAGAGATGGGGCAGGGCTTTATTAATATAGTTGGTGGAAAAAAACTGGGGTTATTGCTTGCAAGAAGTGTGCTAAGTGTGGCCACCCCGTAGTCCTTACTTAAAGCGGAGTTCCACCCAAAAGGGAAGTTCCGCTTTAAAGATTGGTCCCCCGCTCCCCATTAAGGATTGGCACCTTTGGGGAGCGGGTACCCAAAATTGACAGGTACCTGCTCCCACTTCCGCTGCGATCACCTAGGCGATCGGAAGAGGAAGTTGTCCTCCTACCCTCCCTCCCCGAAGTCTTGTGAGACACGTGATAGGTCCCAGAACACTACGGGGCCATTCAGGAAGCGCACCGCTACTCGCGCATGCGCAATGGGTACCCGGCTGTGAAGCCGCAAGCTGTCACAGCTGGAGGCCCACACTGAAGATGCTGGTGCCTGGAACATAGGACGGCTGGTGAGACGGGCTACAGGGAGGACACCACAGGATCCTGGGACAGGTGAGTGGCTGTTTTTTAAAAGTCAGCAGCTACAGTTTTTGTAGCTGCTGACTTATTTTTTTACAGTGCGACTGGAACTCCTCTTTAAGAGAACAAATGCTGTTTTTTCTGCATACTATAGATTTCACTCCCCATGACAAATGACCTTTTCCTACAGCCTGTTTTGTGTGTAACATAACCTCAAAGGTCAAAGACAAATCCAATAATTAATGTGAATTAGAACACAACTGCACAGCTTCCTATAACTAAAAGACATATCAGGAGCAATATGGAGGTGCAGTGACCAACAGCAACCAAAAATGTGTCTTACAATGATTGCAATTGGGTGAAACATGTCTGAATAATCCCAGGAGCATGCTCACAGAGACAACTTCAGGAAAATCTCTAAACACAGAGATTACGTACAGTACATACAGTAGGTACTTAACATGCATTTAAAAGTAACGTGTTCCCTCCTCCTAGATTGTAAGCTCAAAAGACCAGGGCCCTCGATCCCCTCATGTTTTGCATTGTATTGGTATTGTTCTGTCACATGTTCTGTCCCCCTTTGTAATGTACAGCGCTGAGTGAACTATTGGCGCTTTATAAATACTGTATAATAATAATAATAATGTGTTAATGGAAATATAATTGCTTTAACTGGTGTGCTTTATATATATGCTGGGAGTTAAGATGAACAAAGAAGTGACGTTTCCCAGAAGCCAGGTAGTGGGTGCACCTAACTTTTTAAAGCCTTTTCTCTTGCTGAGAATACAAGGGTTCTACTGGGCTCCCTAAAGAGATTTGGAGGCTACCATTGCCAATCTCCTTATCAAAATGCTGTCTGATTGTCTCATTGCTTAACGTGGAAAAGCACTGCATCTGAGCACCACAAACCAAAAATGTTTTTCAATTCATTTTTAATATTCAAAGCAAACTCCTCCATCCATCTGTGTCTCCATGCTTTATTTTGCTGATAATTAATTTTAAAAAACACCCCCTGGTATTTCTGGCAGTGGCCATCTTGAGTAAGGGAAAATAATTAATGTAGCATCTACTTCCTGGAATACATCTGTCTTTAGCTCATGCATTGGCTGAGCTGAGAACCCTCCCTCCACTCCTGAAGACTCCAGGGATGTATGACATCATTTTCCTAGGCATAGTAACCAGGAAGTAACTGAAGAAATGTAAAAAAAAAAAAATTTAAAACAAGTAAATATGATATACTTTTCTATTAATTTATTAGTACTAGCAGCATAAGGGTTAAAAAATAGTCCAAGTTGATTGAGAGAAGTTCCGCTTTAAGTCAGAAATCCTGATCTGCATACTTGTTCCAGGCCAGATGCTCAATTAAAAAAGCTAGAAGATCAGTAAAAACCGCTCTCAGTTTCCGGAGGTCAAGAACAGTAGGCGCCATATTTCCCACAGTACAGAATAACTTTAGGACTCATTTACACTTGTGGCAGACCACCATCACCGATACACTACAGATCGCTTTTCAGAGGGCATTTTAACATTTAAATATTGCATTAGAATATTTTCTGGCAGAAGGTTGAGCTCTTCACTAATTTTTTTCATTGGACAGGGTAATTTTTACTGGTTTGCTGACAATGTCTGTCTAGGGAGGTCAAAAGCTCAAGTTTAAAGTGGAATTTCACTCTCACAATCAACATTGACTATTTTTAATCCTTATGCTGCTAGCTTTAGAGAATAGATAGAAAGGTATATTATATTTTGTTGTTTATCTTGTTTTAAACTTTTTTGTATCCATTTCTTCAGTTATTTCCTGGTTCCAGGTCTAGGCAAATTATGTCATACATCCCAGGAGTCTTCAGGAGGGGCTTTCTCAGCTAAGCACACTCTCCTGTCTGCATGTCTGAGCTAAGGGCAAATGGATTCCGGGAAGTAAATTCTACATGAATCATGTCCTTACTCAAGATGGCCACGACCAGAAATGCTAGGGGGTGATTTTCAAAGCGATTTCTCAGCAAAATAAAGCATTCACACATGGAAGGATGAGGGCGTTTGCTTTGAATACAAAAAATTAATTAAACAGTGTTTTTGTTTAAGGGTATTCAGATACAGTGCAGACCCGCTTAAAGTGGTTCTAAATGATGCATGAAGGTAAAAAACCTTCTGTGTGCAACATCCCCCCCAGCCCCACCCCAATACTCACCTAAGTCCCCTCTTGATTCAGCAATGTGCATTGGAGTCTCGGCTATCCTGGGACTCCCTCTTCTCATTGGCTGAGACAGAAGCAGGAGCCATTGACTCCCACTGCTGTCAATCACAGCCAGTGAGCCAATGAAAAGAGAGGGGGTTTAGCCGAGCCTCGGCTCTGTGTGTTAATGGACACATGGAACAGCGGATGCCCCAATAGCAAGCTGCTTGCTGTGTGGGCACCCGACAGGAAGGAGGGGCCAGAAGAGCCTATATATATAGATATATATATCTATATATATATATATATATATATATATATATATATATATATATAGTGAAAATGCATAAAATATCCATTTAACGATACCATTATAATTACTTCAAATTTCATTAGCCCCTGCCATATAGAATGTAACTGTTTTAATACAGCGCTGGATGACAGTTAAAAAGTATATTTTTGGTTTACAAAGGTGATTAGTTCAAAACAACAGAATAGTCATAATGCCCCTTCGGATTGATTTAGATTGGATTTGATCAAACTGAGTTGATCAGGCAGCACAGAAAATGATCAATTGTTTAGATCAACCAGCAGCACTGCGATACTTTGTTCATGAATTCGATCATATTTCGACTAAAAGTATGAGATTACGTGGTGGAAACAAAGAAGCGATTGATAACTGACGCCTGTAAATTATGATCATATCCTATTATCCATTGAAGTCCACTTCCCCACGTATGGCATATCAAACTGAATAGGTTGTCGACTATAGATCGATTATTCCTATTGGACAAGATCGATCGGAAAATAAACTGATCATTTATTGCAGTGTGCGTGGCCACCATATAGCCAAATTCAGTCAAAGCAGATTACAAATAATTAGTAAACAATTTTGAGATAGCAACAGTACAATTCAACCACCATCTGCCAAATCAAACATTACAGAAGAAAAACAAAATGTTTCATTAGAACACTAGAGCTAAAAGAAGTAAATGTAAAATTAGCCAAACACATATTTCTTTTATATTTTCCCATGAAAATGCTGCATCTTATGTAGTCCTGATCCCTGGGGGTTAGTTCTGAAAGGTTATTGTTAAACACACAGGCG